CTAGACACTGATTGACTCTCTCAGATTGTCCATCCGTTTGCGGATGATAAGCAGTGCTAAGTTGTAAGTTGACCTTGTACAGCTTAAACAGTTCTCTCCAGAAATGGCTAACAAAAATGGTATCCCTGTCAGAGACAATTGAGGCTGGTAATCCATGTAACTTAACCACATGATCCATAAAGAGCTGAGCAATTGTAGCAGAAGTATAGGGGTGCTTGACTGGTAAAAAATGTGCATACTTTGTCAGCATGTCCACAATTACCAAGATGACACTGCACCCTTCTGATTTTGGAAGACCCTCTATAAAATCCATTGTCAAATTCTGCCAAACCCCTTGTGGGATGGGTAAAGGCTGCAGAAGACCCATAGGGTGTTGAAGTGAATGTTTTGCATGTTGACAGATGGTGCACTGTTTCACAAAATTTTCCACATCTTGCTTCATCCCTTTCCATGCAAAATGTTTCTTGAGTCTGTAGTAAGTTGCAGCAATACCTGAGTGACCCCCCAGTGCACTGGAGTGACAAGTTGCTATGAGTTTTGTCTGGAGAGCTGAATTACTGCCTATCCACACCTTCCCTTGGTACCATATGAGGCCCCTGTCCAAGTTGTATCCTTGGTTATCTGGGCTAGTGATAGCCAATCTTTGCAATAGTTGTTGTGCTCTTGAATCAGTGGTGTAGGAGTTGAGAACTTCCTGTACCCAAGCTGGTTGGACTACTGATACTGCTTGAAGAGCCATCATGTGTGCCACCCTAGACAGGGCATCTACAACAATGTTATCTTTTCCCTTCTTATAGATGATTTTGAAGTGTAATCCCATGAGCCTAGTCATTGCCTTTCTCTGCATGTCAGAGTGGAGATTTTGCTCATTTAGATAAGCTAATGACTTATGGTCAGTCTGAATGAAAAATTCTCCTCTCTGCAGATAGTGCCTCCATCTTTCTACATCCATTATGAGAGCTAAGAACTCCTTTTCATATATAGATAAAGATGTATGTTTCTCTCCCAAAGCCTTACTGAGGTATGCTATAGGTTGTCCCTTCTGCATGAGGACAACCCCTATCCCATCTTGACAGGCATCTGTTTCCACTGTGAAAGGTTCTTGAAAATTGGGTAGGGCCAAAACTGGAGTTCTGGTCATTGCCACTTTGAGATCATCAAAAGCTGCTTGTGCTGTTGGGTTCCAGGCAAAATGTTTGAGCCGAAGGATGGCTGTCAAAGGTTTAGCCATGATCCCATAATTTTTGACAAATTTCCTATAATAGCCTGTTAATCCTAGGAAGGCCCTCAACTCAGTCATGGAAGTAGGCACATGCCACTGAAGCATATCATGTATCTTGCTTGGATCAGTGGAGACCCCTTGAGAAGAGATGATGTGGCCTAAGTATTCCAAGCTATCCTTAGCAAATGTGCACTTGGATTCCTTCAGATATAACTGATGTTTTCTCAGAGTAGCTAACACTTGTTCCAAATGTTTGGTGTGTGCCTCTAGAGAAGGACTGTATATCAATATGTCATCTAAGAAGACCAAGACGAAGTGCCTCAAAAAGGGTTGGAGGATTTCATTCATGACACACTGGAAGGTAGCTGGTGCATTGGTCAAGCCAAAAGGCATGACTTTGAATTGATAATGACCTTGATGTGTCTTGAATGCAGTCTTGTGTTCATCCTCAGGCAACATCCTAACTTGGTGGTATCCAGACCTCATGTCTAGTTTTGTGAAGAATTTAGCTCCTAAGAGTTCATCCAATATTTCCTCAATTACTAGCATTGGAAATCTATTTTTAATTGTGATGTCATTCAATTTCCTATCACAGAACCGCTAGGACCCATCTTTTTTTGACCAAAAGCACTGGAGATGCAAATGGACTGTGGCTATGAGCTATGAGTCCTGCCTGTAAAAGCTGTTGTACCTGGTTCTCTATTTCTGTTTTGTGTAAGGGAGAGTAGTGGTATGGTCTAGAATTGATGGGAATAGAGCCAGGGATGAGTGGGATAGCATGATCATAGGTTCTTTGTGGTGGTAGGATTTTTGGATCAGTGAATACATCCTTGTAGGCAGTGAGGAGGTTTTGGATTTCATCTAGATGTGGACTGGTTTGTTGTGGTTTGGTGGGGGTATGATCTAACAGGACAAAGGCCCATATATCATTACCTTTAGTGGAATTATAAACCTTTGTGGCAGAGATGGATGACAGTTGCAATGGTGGCTCGGGCAACCCCTGAAGTGTCACTGTCCTGCCCTCTTCAAAAAATTTGATGGTTCTGTTCTTCCAATCACATTCCATGGGGCTGTGTGCTTGGAGCCAATCACATCCTAATATGGCATCATATGGTTGCATCTCCAGGACCACCATGTCAGTAGTGAAACTTTGACCTTGACAATAGCATTGGAGTTGAGGCACCATCCTATCTGTTTGCAGCCCTTCACCATTTGCAAGTTTTACTTTCCTGGTACTAGTGGGCACTGTGTGTAGCTTAGCCAGTTCAACAAACTTTGAACTAATGAAGCTGTGAGTACTGCCACTGTCTACTAGTATAAGAAGAACTTTGTCTTTGACTCTAGCCTTCGATTTAATGCAGCTTGTACTGTTCAGACTGGATAATGCATTGAGGGAGAGTTAACTGAACTCCTCATGCAACTTGTCCTCCACTGCTAGCTCATTAAGGACTTCATCAGATAATTCCCTGTCTAGGTCATTGAGCACAATAGCATTGACTTGTGGTTTTTGTTGCTTGGAACAGACCTCGAGGTGTCCTGGCACAAAATTTTCACCACAAGAGAAACACAGGCCATTTGCTTTGCGATAGTCCCGTAATTGTCGGTCCTTCCACAGGGTTGATATCTGTTGTGGTTGTTTGTATTCAGTCTTTGGCGATCCATAAGTCCTGACCTGAGAATTGGTTCGGTTATATCTGGCTTTGCTTCGCTCAAGCATCCCTTGCTGAATCCTGGCAATGGTTGATGCTTTTTGCACCGTCTGGGGCATTTGAGGCTCCACAGTAGTCCTTATCTCCTCTTTGAGCCCTCTGATATACTGTGGCGTGAAAAACATCTCATCATAGTGTGAGTTGTGCATGGTAACATCATACTGCAGAGCCTAAAACTGCGAGGTATAATCTTCAACAGTGCCAGTTTGCTTAAGATCCAGCAGAGCATTCATAGCAGTTCTGAAATCATCAGATCCAAACTCCCCTTCTACCACTGAACAAAAATGGTCCCAATTCTTGAAAGTGTGGTTCTGTTTATATGCTTGGTACCACTTCGCAGCATTCCCTTCAAAATGTAGGTGGGCTGCAGTAATCCACATCCCTTCTGGCAGTTGATATAGCTCAAAGTAGCTCAGGCAATTATCTTTCCAGATCTTTGTGTTTTGACCATCAAACTTTGGAAATTGCATCTTGGGCATAGCTTGGTACGGCAAAGGATTCTTCTTATCATGCTTAGGAGGTGGCCTCCTTGTCTTGGATGATTCCGGTTTGTGAGTGCCTTTATTTCTGGCAAACACATTCTCAAAGTCGTCTTTCTCATCAAAAATTTCAGATAGTGAAGAATCATCTGAAAAAGGCCCATCATTGTCAAACTGTCTCATGGTGAGTTGGGCGACCGCTGCACCATTAGCCTTAACTTGTTGGGCTATCAATTGCTGCTCAGCTAGTATAATTGTCCATTGCTTGGCCTCTGATGTCCATCTGGGTCTTCATCTGTTGCTGGACTTCTCCAATGTCATTGACTCTAGTGAACAGCAGATCAAAGTGCTCCATAACCTGATCCCACCGAGTCTTCTCCTCTTCAGTGTTCTTCGACATGTTGTCCAGGAGTATCTGAGTCTGCTTGGATGGCTTTAAAGGAGCCGTGATGAAGGATTTGAATGAAACCGAGACACAGTTGTAGACGACGCGGATCCGAGGAGATGGGTGGTGGTGTGCTGAGAGTAGAAGGTGGATGTGGTGGTGATCAAGCATGGTAACACCGTCGCCGCCGCTGACCCAGTTCAACCAAAGAAGGGACCTCTGGGACCTCACGTTGAACACCTTGTGGGCGTTGACAGAGATCACCTGACCACCGGAATTACGAACTGCGATCTAAGCGAACGATTTCGGAAGGTTACCGAGGAGGGGAAGAGCACCGTTGTAGTGGTGGTGGTGGTGGTGGTGGCTCGTCGGATCCGGAGTCGAAGGTTGTCGGAGCGGAGGTAGAAGCGGTGATGAGGAGCGATGAGCGCCCGCCACCCACGCCAAGGATAGAACGTCTCCGATACCACTTGTCACACCCTTGGCCGCCGGCTAACCGCCGTCGACGTGAGCACGATCAAGGTACGGGACAAGGACGTCGGCAGGGCAAGCCCTCTGCCTTGGCGACTTGGATTCACTGAATCAGAAGAGTCTGCCGAACACGGCACATGGTTTGGGCACTTATGTGCCATACAGTCTCTGGCCACACGGCCCCACATGACAGTACAATAATGAAAACGTAATACAACGCAATACGTAAAGCTAGTAGTGTAGACGGCTTCAGTGATGGTCACCTGACAAAACCAAACACGCCTAAGCCCGCCTCGCATCCCTCGAGAAAGAAACCTAACGAGACCCGAACCCGATCGCCTGGTCATCAGTGATAATAATAATCGAGGCGATGGATCCCGGTCACCACGTCACTGATCACAATCTCAAGCGGAGCCGCCGCCACCCCGGCGGATCCTGCGCCGGCCATCACGCCGATGTGGTCTGCACCCTCCCCGACGACCTCCTGGTCGCGATCCTCTTGCGCGTCGGCGACTCGCGCACCGCGGTGTCCACGTCCGCGCTTTCGTGGCGCTGGCGGCGGCTCGACCCCGCCCGCTGGCTCCCCGCGTTTGACTTCTCCGTCGGCGATCACCTCCCGCCGCAGTACGCGGCGACCCTGCATCGCTACCGCGACGCACATTGCACAACAGGGCAGGGATGATGAGGCGCGGCGGGCGCTCGCCCGGCAGGTCTTCACCTGCGAGGACCGCGCCATGGAAGCCTACGTGCGCGAGCTCGCTCGCTTCCTCGGCTCCCCCGAACGCTACCAGGCCGCTAGGTCCCTCCGCCTCGAGTTCTACGTCACGCCGCCGGAGGAACAACACAAGGATGCCGCTTCTACCGCCGTCGGGAGGGCCATGGCAGCGTGCCTCACTTCAGCCTTGCGCTGGCCCCAGCTCGAGCGCCTCGCCATCTACGCCTTCCCACGCGGCGTGGCGGCGGCGTCCGGGGCCCACGAAATCTCGGACCCGGAGTTCATCGAGGCGCTGCGGCTGATGGACAGCCGCCTCGCGACCCTTCACGTCAAGAACTGCCTGACGAAGAGCGGCGGTGGCTACGGGCTGCTGTTCCCCGCCCTGTCGAGGCTCACCATCGAGATCACGCCGGGGGTCAAGGCTGTCTTCCCGAGGAGCTACTTCAACGACCTCCTACAATCGTGCCGTGACCTCGTATTCCTGCGCCTTGTGTCGTGCAACTTCGCTGGCAGCGTCGAGGCACTGCCGTTCAAGCTGCACCTGTTGCCGGCGTCGAAGCTCGGGGAGCTCGTCTTGTCGGCCTGCAATTTCCAGGACGTCAGACTCGTCAACACGCCGAGCCTGGAGAGGCTGCTGATCCACAAGCGCGATCGGCTCTGCCTTACTGTCGACAACGCCCCAAGGCTGGCGACCCTGGTAGCGGCACCATGGATATACGGTAGCGGCACGGCAAGGACCCTCCGGTTCGTGGAGTTGAGCTCTTTGAATTCCAGGCAGAGCCAGGAGAGACTGGAATCCTTCTTCCAGTGCATTCCTAAAGTTGAAGTGCTGGAACTATGCTTCCGGGATGGATGGGTAAACGGGGTAAGTCATCAAAATCAGAACAATGTAAAAAAAATTTATACACTGCTTGGTATACATTGTCGTAATTTGATGTCAAGATCATCTTGTTCACGCATGTCATTAATTTTGCTCCTTACGACTAGAAATTCTTGGCAAAAACAAAGTTTAGGTCAACCCATCCGAGACTTCAGGAATTTTTTACTGGGGCATTAGTTACAAATAAGTAGTAATAACAGTAGAGGGTTGATGAGATTCAATCTGAATAATGATGTTGGCAGATGAGGTAATAAGTGCATAAATGTATGTAAACATACACGAACCTAATAATAAGCAGCCTATAGAGTTCACTCCTTTCAATCAATCACATAAAAGAGTTTTATCTTAGGTATGGATATATATTTGTCTCGCAATGTATTTTTGAAATATAGAGCTTTGTTACATATTCCCTATATTATTTGTACTAGTATCTTGTGGTACACAGATGTGCCAATGACCATGTTGTTGTCCAAGGTAATACTCTCTTTAATTTGTAAATCGTTTTATTAGTTTTGTTCTAAGTCAAACTTCTCTAGATTTAAACAAGTTTATAGAAAAATGTACAAACATCTATAACATCAAACAAGATCCATTAGATACACCATGAAATATATTTTCATAGTACATATATATATAGATGTTAATGCAATTTTGTATTAACTTCATCAAAGGTAGATGAGTTTGACTTACAACTACTAAAATTACTTACAGTTTGAAATGCATGGAGTAATTTCGGAGGTGGTACGGTGCTAACCTCACTGCTACAGAATCATAAATAAACGTATTTACGTTGACTACACTAGTAAACGGTCAAGCATGTCAAGTATTTTTTAGTAGAAAAAGGTCAGGTAAATCACAGGCTAGAATTACAACAACCTTTGACATTTTACAACGCCAAAGTGACAAAAATAAAGCAAGCTTACCAAAAATCAATTAAAGCACACCGAGATAGGTTATGACCTCCTTAGCATAATTCTTCTTGTTTTCTTTTCTGTTAGCAAAACTTCTTTCAGTAATCTTAATTTGACACAAGCTCTTTGCCGAGTGCCTAGTTTTGCCAAGTGTTTTTTTCTAGTTTGCCGAGTATCGAACATTGCCGAGTGTTTTTTTCCTCGTTTGCCGAGTGTTTTTTTTGCAGCCTCGGCAAAGAGCTTGTTTGCCGAGTGCCCGATGGATTGCACTCGACAAACCATCTTGCACTCGGCTTACCTACTGATTCCGGTAGTGTTGAGAATCGACTCAGAAATTAGATAGTGAATTGTTTTTGACATTTTATTAAAAAGAAAAGTTATATTAATTTCATTTCATACTGCCAATTTTCTATAATTCTTGTGTCATTTTACTTTTGAGATATTCCAGTCCCACGCTGATAGTTTTAATTTCACTCATTAACATAGCATTTTAGATAGAAACATAATGGGTCGATGCGTTTATGCATCCTTATTCCTTAGGGGCCGTTACACAGGGCTCTTCATTCTTTTGGCTATTACTCCACCGTTCCAAATTATAAGTCACTTTGACTTTTTTTGTTTATCCATTTTGCTATGTATCTAGACATTATTTATCTAGATGCATAGTAAAATAGATGTACCAAAAAAGTCAAAGCGACTTATAATTTAGAACGGAGGGGGTATTAATTAGTTCGAATCCTATGTTCCCCAAAAAAAAGTTTGAATCCTACTTGAAGAAAATGGGTTTATATATCTTTGTGATTTGCTTAGAAGTTTAGCATTTATTAGTTGGCGAAATATGTTTACGCATTATTGTGAATGCCGCTCATTTAGTTCAATTTGAGTTTTTATGATTCATAAGATGTTAAGTATGCCCGCACACACGTACTCATGCTCTCTTGTATGTAGCACTAAGCAAATCATGAATTATAGTGGCTTTGTTAACTCTTGCTGCAACTTTTTTAATCAATATTATGTTCCTTGCTGTATCCAAACCATTTTGTTTCATCAATAATATCACCACGATTGTTGTAAAAAAATGATTGGAACTAACAATAATTTTTTTGTTGCAAGTTTTGGATTAAACTCACCAAACTCCCGTATAGATTTGAGAATCTAAAAAAGTTACTGATACACCTTCCAAGGATGTGGCCACTCCATTGGATCAAGAAATTACTGAAGAATATATTAGAAGCTGCAACATGTTTGGAGAAGCTTCACATCCAGGTATTCCCTAGTTTCTGTCGATCTATTCCCCAGAATCTTGCCAATATTTCTGCTCATTTACATGCAATTCGCATGCCACTTATAAATTTTGAGTTTTTTGCATCGTCACCGGCGGGACATCAGAAGAATGGAGCTCAACTCCTTCCAACGACAGTGCAGATGATTTGCAGCACAATTGCCTGACGCAGATTGTAATGGAGGGATGTACTTGGACAGAAGGCCAAATCACACTGATTAGGCATTTAATGAGTTCATGTGGGGCTCTTAAGACTGTTCTTTTAATCCCGCACCATGCTCGACAGGGAGGCGTTGCTGTATGTCCATTGTGGTTGATGAAAGACAAGAAGGCGGTAACCGTCTCCTCTCAGCTTAGGGATGGGATTCACTCTAATGCCGAAATTATTTTCGGCTGAAAAAAAGGGCTATCAGATTCGAGGTGTTCATGCTGGTAGTCAATTCATCACAACCTAACATTTGAAAGTACAAATTGATAATCCTAATGCTGCCTAGGAGCTGAAAAAGGTTGTATGGGAACAAGTTTGAACTTTCAAGATTATTAGATTATATATTGGTAACAAGTTCAGGTGGTGATGATGTTGTTTGCATGAGGATTTCATGTTTTGCACACTGCTTTTGTTGGTAACAGTGAGAGGCTTATTTGGTGGCTGGTGGTGGGCTTGATGCGGCACAAAGCCCATTGATGTTGCTAATTCTAGCCCATTTGAGAGATGCGATCACTAGCCCATTTATTTTGCTTATTCGAGCCGAGCTTCAATTCGAGCCTATGTGTAGAGCCCATTTATTTTGCTCATTCGAGCCCATGTAGAGCCTCAATTTACCATCTATACTATGTGCTTGGACTTTCACAGCTTACTCTGAGTTTAAAAAATTATGTTTCTTGATTGAAGTCAACTCCAAGAATAGAAGGTTCCATAATTTGCTCATGCCATTCACACATGATAAATTTCAAGGAAAATCAGACTTGTTCAGGAGGGACTAGGGTTTCCTTTTCAGACATTAGTTGGTCTTGAGTGCAGATAACTACAGAAAGTCAGCAAGCCAAATCTCAGATGAGATGTCAGGTAACCAGGAGCACAAAGTTAGGTGACCTATAGCTTGCACAGTTCCTTGATCCCACGACACGATAAACACTGGGCAACATAGATGCATGCATGTATTGACATATATGGTGCAGTCGGCAGCTATATAGTTTTCAAAGATTCCCATGAACTAATACTCTATGCTCCTGGCACCAGCTTCTTCTTCTTGTTCATACTGCAAAACATCAGGTTTTGAAGATTAAACAACCCTTTATATGTTTGGTCGTTGTTAGCAAGACATATTTGTTGCAGTATCCCTATCTATAACCTGCCAAAAGGACCAATCAATCAGGATGTTTAGAGCACATGGTGATTATTGTTTCTGGATTGAGTAAAGTAGTGGTGGCATTGACCGATTGGTATCTGCAGACTGCAGAATTGTTGGAGGCCTGACGCCTGAGGCAGGAAGACAATAGATGATGCATCACAAAATATTTTGTTTGACCAGAAAGCTGAGAAAATCTTCCGGTTGCCCCTTTTGTTTACACAATCTGTTTGGTTTTAATAATGTTACAAATTAATGTTGTGTGCAAGCCGACGACCGGTTGGTGTTGGGTACTTTTCATTGCAACAAATGAAAAAAAATGCCTCATAGGATCGAGAAGGTTCGGACTGTGACCATGTGTATATCTTTTTGCTCGTTCTTGCTTGTTTCAGAGGAGACCAAAGCCCATGTCCATATCTTGGACAAGGAAATAGAGTAAAAGCAATCAGATTTTTGTTGCTTTCACTGTGACAGTAGGGAAATAATGAATACTCCCTTCGCTTCCATGTCCCAATAATACAATAAGGCCCCGTTTGGACCATATTAGAATTGAATTTATTTTAATAATTATAGTTTTGACACATATTAATTAAGCTAATATGATTGTATATGAATTATATTTGTATATTATTGTTGATATACGAGAGAGATACTTATGTGTTGCACTTCTACCATAGGGGAGTGAGTTGAAGAGCGTGTCATAAGTTGTAAAGTAGAAACATAGAATGATGATCTATAGAATCAATTTTCATCTCCCACCCTATAAATTTGAGATAGCTTATATGTGAACTTTGGAAAGTGGTGGAATGTTAAATTTCAAGCCAAATAGCCTAATTTATTGAGTAGATTTCAATTCCTCCAAATGAAAGGATCCAAACGGCCCCTAAATGAATTTCCCGCTACTGTTGGTCAAACTTTTTCTCCCCGGCAAAATCGACTTTGAAAAGAATAAAGTAAAATGGTCTTTTTTTTAGCAAACCCTTGGAATGAAATAATACTGTCAACAGTGGTGGTTAAAAAGTTTATAATTAGAGTAAGTGTAGGCACCAATATTAATTATGATATTAGCACCACTTTCAAACAAAAGGTTTTATGTAAGGAGATCGTATATCACCAATTTTATTTAACAATGTGGCAAATATGCTCTCTATACTGATTATTAAGGCAAAAGATAATGTCAAAATTAGAGGGGTCATACCTCACCTTATGGATGATGGTTTGCCCATATCGTGCATATTTACATCATACAATCCCATTTTTGGACCATTATTATATGGAGGAAGTGAAGAAAACTAAATTGTTGCTCACTATTTATAAACAATTACTTGTTTGAGAAAAATTCAAAACAATTATTAGGTCCAAAAATTAATTTACCAAAAAACGTGATTTTTAATAAGGCGATTCTAGACATTATGAGTAGGAGCATATCGAACTATTTCGCCATTAGTCAGCATGACACCCTTTCTGATCCCACTGCATCACCATAAACTCTGTAATGCATATTGGAGTGTAGTTGAGGAAAGATTCAAGTGAAAGCTATGTACCAAGAAAGCCAAACATTCTTAGCAGCCTACCCATGTTTATGCTATTCATTTTTGAAATATCAAAAGGCATTCTAAAAAAGCTAGAATTTTATCATCAAGATTATTTTGCCACTGCAACGATGATAACAAAAAAATACCGCCTAGTCATCCTAGCTAAAGATCAAC